ATAATATATTTGTATGAGCATTGCCTATCTACCCTTATACTACTACTACGGTCCCTAAAGAGAAGCAGCAGCAGCAGCAGCAGCAGCGGGAGCAGCAGCAGCAGCAGCAGCAGCAAGGAGAAAGAATGAGAGACACAAATATATTTGTCTCTAAACCAATCAATCGTCCTCCTCTACTGCTGCTACAGCTGCAGCATTTGCTGCTGCTGCTGCAGCTATTTATTTGCTGCTGCTGCAGCTGCTGCAGCAGCTGCTGCTGCAGCAAACTTGCTACACGTTATTTTGCAGCTTTGCTGCTGCAGCACAAACTGCTACTGCAGCAGCAACTGCTCCTGCAAAAGCCGCCTCATCTGCTGCACCTATTGCTGCTGCTGCTGCTGCTGCTGCTGCATTTGCTGCTGCTGCTGCAGCTACAGCATCCCCCTGCTTCTAGCAAGCTGCCACTGTACGCGTTCTCTTGCTGTCATCTTTCTTTGCTGCGGTCGTACCTTTATCTGCTGCTGCAGCTGCTGCAGCTGCTGCAGCGGCCCCACACCTGCTGCTGCTGCTGCAGCTGCAGCTGCTGCATCTCCTATATAAGCCCCACCTGCTGCTGCGACTGCTGCTGCTGACGGGATAAACGATGAAGGGCCGCTGCTGCTGTGCTGCCGACGACGCTGCTGCTGGTGCTGCTGCAGCATCTGCTGCTGCTGCTGCTGCTGCTGCTGCTGCTGCCACTCTGCTGCATCAAGATCGCCATAAGAAGGCAACGCACGGGAGACACCAGGAGGAGAGAGCGGTTGTTGCTGCTGCTGCTGCAGTTGCTGCAGTTGTTGCTGCTGCAATTGCTGCTGCTGCTGCTGCTGCAGCGGTTGCTGCTGCAGCTGCAGCTGCTGCTGCTGTAGCCAAGGTGCCCGTTGTGCCACTGCGCTGCTGCTATAGCTACCAAGAACAGGTTGCTGTGCATAGCTGCTGCTGCTGCTGCTGCTGTTGAGGGGAAGAGGCCTCGTTCCTGCTGCAGACACTGCAGCAGGACCCCCTGCTGCAGACTGACCAGCAGCAGCAGCAGCAACAGCAGCAGCAGCTTGCTGCCTTCGTGCTGCTCTCCTTCTTGCCTTCTGGAAGCATGCAAGAGGAGCAGGTAACTTAAATCCTCCATTCCCTGCTGCTGCTGCTCCTCCTGCTGCTGCTGCTGCAGCAGCAGCAGCGGGGAAGGTATCGGACACTGCGTCTTCGATGCGGGGTCTCCTAGCGGGCCTAAATAGCGGCGTATCTGCAGCTTGCTGCTGCTGCTGCTGCTGCTGCTGCTGCTGCTGCAGTTGCTGCTGTACTCTACCCCATCCTGCTGCATGACTACTGACAGCAGCTGGATCTGCTGCAGCTATATCATCTGCTGCTCCTGCTGCAGCAGCAGCAGCAGCAGATGACTGTACCCAAGAGGGCCCCCCTATAAGAGACGCCTGCTGCTGCGCACTGCTGGTCGGCAGCGCTCTTGAGGGGACCCTGCTGCTGCTGCTGCTGCTGCTGCTGTTGCTGCTGCTGTTGTTGCTGCTGATTATGCCTGCTGCTGCAGGCTCAATTGGGTGTACGTACATCATACGATCCAACTGTCGCGACCGCTGCTGCTGCTGCAGCAGAGGAGCACCTGTGGGGACCTGCCCCTGCTGCTCTGCTGCTGCTGCTGCTATTGCTGCTGTTGCTGCTGCTGCATTGGAGTGATGTCGGCGACGCCTCTCATGGCGTCTACAATCCCTCGATGTTGCTGCTGCTGCTGTTGCTGCAGCAAATAATTCCTGCTGTTGCTGCAGTTGCTGCTGCGGCTGCAGTAGACCTCCCGCAACCATTGGTGCAGCAGCAGCAGCAGCAGCAGAAGAGGAAGAAGACCTGCCTCTCTTACGCTCCTTGTGTCTCCTCTTCCTATCCCGATGCTGCTGCTGCTGCAGCAAGAGCTGCTGCTGCAGTTGCTGCTGTTGCTGCTGTTGCTGCTGTTGCTGCATCTGGAGTTGAGCCGGCTGCTGCTGCTGCTGCTGCATAGGCATCACAAACTGTTGATGTGCAGGTTGCTGCAGCTGGTGGTGCAGTTGCTGCTGTTGTTGCTGCTGCTGCAGCTGCTGCTGCTGCTGCCACGGTGGAGGAGCGGCGCCCCTTTGGCGCTGTTGCAGCATTTGCTGCTGCTGTTGCGGAAGCTGCATTTGCTGCATCTGCTGCTGCGGCAATCCTGTTGCTGCAGCAGCAGCTGCAGCAGCAGCAGGAGGGGAGACAGCATCAGCTGTATGCGTAGGCAGCAGCATCTGACTTGCTGATCTACGGGGTGTATGTCTCCTTGCTGCAGCAGCAGCAGCAGCAGCAGAACTGTCTCTTACACTGCGGTGGCGATGATGGTGTCTCCTATGGTGCCTATGCTGCTGCAGTTGCAGTTGCAGTTGCTGCTGCTGCTGCTGCAGTTGCTGCTGCAGCATTTGCTGCTGTTGTGTATTCTCACCTTGGATAGTCGTCAATCCTGTTGCAGTTGCTGCAGTTGCTGCAGTTGCTGCTGTTCCTGCTGCTTGTATCCTTGATGAATTTGCGATTTGTTGTTGCTGCAGCTGTAACTGTTGCTGCTGCTGCTGCTGCTGTTGCTGTTGCTGTTGCTGCTGCAGCTCTGACGCTGTAGTAAGAAGCGGATGCATATGATGATGATGTTGCATTGGTAAATGCTGCTGTTGTTGCATGCTGCGTGTATGTGCAGCAGCAGCAGCAGCAGCAGCAGCAGCAGCAGCAGCAGCTTGCTGCTGTTGCCTATGTGCCATAACAGCAGCAACAGCAGCAGGAGGTAATTGTTGTAATTGCTGTTGCTGCTGCTGCTGTATAAACATAACAGAAGGAGGAGGTCTTCTTAATCTATGAAAAGATTTATGATTATAATAAAATCTATTATAATAATAATTATTATTACCCCTCACCTGTTGCTGCTGCATCCCATGCTGCTGCTGCTGCTGCTGCTGCTGCTGCTGCTGCATTCTCCTTCTTGGTCTTGCATGCAAGACAACAGGAGTACCATCCTGTCTTGTTAATCCATACCATAGATCTGATGGATTTAGACATAAATTTATTAAGACATCATCATCACGACATTTATGATCTACAGTACCTTTTGTTGATACTTCGCTGCTGCAGTTGCTGCTATTGCTGCTGCTGCTGCTCCTGCTTCTTCTTCTTCTTCTTATCCTATTATTATTATTTATATTTATTTCTTCTCCTAATTGTAATGATTCTAATAAGGGGTTATATGATGGGGATACTCCTCCTCCTTCTCCTGCTGCTGCTGCTGCTGCTGCTGCTGTTGTTGCTGCTGCTGCTGCGCTGCTGCTATTGTTGTTATTGTTGTTACGCCGGTTTGTCACGTCTCCTTGCTGCTGCTGCTGCTGTTGCTGTTGCTGCTGCTGCTGTTGGCGTGATGTCTCCGCCCTTTCTTTTACTAACCAAAAGAAAGACAACGAAGAACTGCTGCCATCAGCAGCAGCAACTCCTGCTGCTGATGACTCAACCATACCTGCATGCATGCATGCATGCACAAACATATATTTAACCATACAATTACCATACAGCTGCAGCAACAACAGCAGCAGCAACAATAATTGCAGTAGTTGTAGGACAGGCAGCAGCAGCACAAGTGGCAAACAGCAGCAATTGCTGCAGCAGCAGCAACATGTGATGTGCTGCAGCTAAACCAGCAGCAACACAGAGCGTGCTGCTGCTCAAGCAGCAGCTACATAAGACGCTGCTGCTGCTGCTGCTGCTGCAGCAACACAACGTGCTGCTGCCAAAGCAACAGCAACAAAAGGTGCTGCAGCAACTGCTGCCGCAGCAGCAGCAGCAACACAAGCCAACAACAGCAGTAAACACAAATGCACACAACAGCATCTCCTGCAGCAGCAAACCAGACATCCCTGCAACAACAGCAGCAGCAACAACAGCAGCAGCAGCAGCAACAGCAGCAAACGCATGCATGAACATAGACGATAGTCCTACTGGTTGTTCGTGTTTCTAGCTGCATAAGAACTTCTGATGTCAGCCTGATGGGCTGCTGCTGCTGCTGCTGCTGCTGTTGTTGTTGTTGCTGCTGCTGCAGCTGCTGCAGCCTCCTCCCATGTGCTCTTCTTCTTGACTTCCCTCTCCTTGATGAGGGAGGAGTTCTACCGTCGGCTTTGCGTCGGCTCTCTCCTGCTGTACATACACCTGGTGCTGCAGCACCACCACCACCACTACCTGCTGCTGCTGCAGCAGCAGCAGCAGCAGCAGCAATACGGTGATGATGACGATGGCTGCGCGAACGTCCCACTGCTCTCCCGCTGCGGTGATGTCTTCGTCTCTCTACTGCAGCAGCAGCAGCAGCAGCAGATGCTGCTGCTGCTGGTGCTGCTCCTCCAGTCGCTGCGTCTCCTCCATCTTCTACAGCAGCAGCTGCTGCTGTTGCTCCTTCTGTACTGTAAACAGCAGCAGGCGCAGACGCTGCTGCTGCTGCTGCTGCTGCTGCTGTTGTGTCTTCCTCAGCCCATTCTGGTAGACTAGAGGAAGACCTTTGCTCAGCAACACTATCTGCTGCAGTTGCTGCTCCTTCTGTTGCTGTTGCTGCTTCTGCTGCTGCTGTAGCAGCAGATGTGCTGCTGCTGCTGGTAGCTTCGTCAGCAGCACAGCTAACGTCAGCAGATATAAGACTCCAAGACTTCTCTGCTGCTGCTGCTTCTTCTCCTGCTGCTTCTGCTGCAGCTCCTTCTTCTTCTGCTGCTCCTGCTGCAGCTTCTTCTTCTCCTGCTGCTCCTGCTGCAGCTTCTCCTTCTCCTGCTGCTCCTACTGCAGCGTCTCCTTCTCCTGCTGCTGCTCCTGCTGCAGTAGCTGCTGCTTCTGCTGCAGTTGGCAGCTGTCGAGGTGTCGTTGCTGCAAGGCAGAGAGAAGCGACTCAAAGAAGGCACTTCTTAGGCAGCAGCAGCAGCAGCAGCAGCAGCAGCAGCAAGCCAACACACGGCTTTATACACATAGCTAGCTAACTAGCTAGCTAACTAGCCACATAGCTAGCTAGCTAGCTAGCTGCTGCCTAGCTACTAGGTAGCTGCATGCACAAGAAGGGGATAAAAAGCTAGCTAGCTAGCTATACATAAAAAGCGAGCACAGCAGCAGCGTCTGCAGCTCATATAGCAACAGGTTAGTGCATGCATGCATGCATGCAGCAGCAACAGCTGCTGCTGCAGCAGCAGCTGCTGCATGCAGGGGTTTAATCACAACACACAGTAATTTAGGTGTACATACACCTCATTATATACCTGCAGGTGCTGCAGCGGCGCTAATGGCGTCGGCAGTAGAGCAGCAAAGGGCGGTGGCGGCGGTTGCTGCAGCAGCAGCAGCAGAAGAATGGTCTACTGCTGCTTCAGCTGCTCCTCCTTCCGCAGTTCCTCCTGCTGCAGTTGCTGCTGCTGCTGCAGCAGCAGGTATCAGCAGCTGTTGCTGCTGCGCAGCTTCCGCTCGGCCTGCCAAAAAGCATCCATCGAAGCTTCAGGCAATAAAGCCCCAAAAATTATTCATGCATGCATGCACGCATGTATGCATGCATGCATGCATACATGGGGGGAATGCATATGCATGCATGCATTGCATGCATGCATGCATACAGGTATGTAGCACAAAGGCCCCACCCCCTTTATATCCCCCTCTCTGCCCTGCTAAGCAGCAGCTAAGCAGCAGCAGCAGCAACAGCAGCAGCAGCAACAACACAAAAGTATGAATATAATGTTACTTTATGCACACACACCTGTCGTGCAGCTTGATGAGCATTGTGGCTCCTTTTGCTGCTCGAGCAAGCAGCTGCAGCCGCTGCTGCTGCTGTTGCTGCTGCTGTTGCTGCTGTTGCTGCTGCTGCTGCAGTCAGTAAGAGGCACGTCCAGCCTATGAAGAAGAGCTGCAGGGTACAAAGCAAAGCAAGCACGAAGCTCGAGTTGCAGCAACGTACAGCATGCAGCAGCAGCAAGTGCAGCAAGCAGCAGCAACAGCAGCAACAACTGCTGCTGCTGCTGCTGTTGTTGTTGCTGAATTATTTAACCTGTGCAGCAAGGAGCAGCAACTAAATAAATAATAATTGTTGCTGCAGCAGGGACCTCATGGCAGCAACGGACTGCATACCCGGAGGCTCCTGCAGGTTATATGAGAAGCCAAGGTCCTTGGTGGTGCTGCTGCTGCAGTTACTGCTGCTGTTGTTGCTGTTGTTGCTTTTAGGTTCCTGCTGCACCGCGTCAGCAACTGCAGCAGCAGCAGCTGCAGCAGCAACAGGTGTGCTGCTGCAGTCAAGAGCAGCCCATGTGTCTGTATAGGAAGTACCACTAAGGGACTTTCCTTCAGAGAACTCAAGGGAAACTTCTTCCTGTTGCTGCTGCTGCTGCTGTTGCTGTTGCTGTTGTTGCTGCTGTTGTTGCAGGTGCTGCTGACGTAAGTGTTGCTGCTGCTGCTGCAGTACAGATACTAAATGACCTTCTGCTGCAGGGGACAAAGGGACGATAGGGTGTTGTGCTGCTGTCACTGCGGCAAAGGCTCCCTCGTCCATCTTTCCGCGGTGGACAGACACCGCAAAAATGCGAGGTCAGCGCTGCTGCCGCTGCTGCCGCTGCTGCTGTTGATTTTGCTGCTGCTACTGCTGATGATGGTGTATTCGATGGTGCTGCGGGTCCTCTGCTTCGCAATCCTTAATGCTGCAGCAGCGAAGCAACCGTAAGTTGCCTGCAGAAGGACCGCTTAGGTGTATATACACCACAGCAGCAGCAGCAGCAGCAAATAGCAAGCTGTGGATACACTTGAAAGCACAAGCCAACGGTCCTCATACACCACCTAGGTGTATCCGTTACCTAAGGAAAGAATCTTCGGCTGCAGCAGCAGCAGCGACAGCAACAGCAGCCGTCGAATGGAGCTCCAATGCTGCCTATATATCAACAGCACTTGCTGCTGAGTTTGATGGCAGCAGCAGCAGCAGCAGCAGCGTCCGTCTGCGTATGTATGTATACGCGGTAGCTGCCTGCTTGTAGCTGCGTGCTGCTGCTTGCGGCTTATATAGGAGCTGTTTGTTGTATAAAGGGGTAATTTCCTTTATATAAGAGAGAAAAGTCCTTTATTTGTCTTTATTGGCGATAATATACACCATAAAGGCTACGGTGTATAGGGTGTATTGGTGCAGGTTATGCAGCAGCAGCCTCTGTTGTGTGCGGGGAAGGAGAGGCCGATTAAGGGTGTTCTTATGAATAAAAAGAAGAAAAAAAGAGTAAAATAAATCCTTTAATATAACTTTTACGGTATATTTTTAAAAGAAATGTAAAAGAATGAGCCGTTTATTCATAAATCCTTCTTTTGCAACTTTTTGCCAATTATTCAAGAAAGCAAAAAGAAGAAAGCTGAAGAAAAATGGCGGTAAGCGACGGTAAATTACCCTAATTAATGCATCATAAGAAGGATTAATTAATCCTTTATTTATTTATAGCAAAATAAAAGAATATATTTATCATCTACAGCTAATAATATAAACATTCACATTCATCTTTTTGTACCTTTTATACACCACCAGTAGCCGCAGCAGCAGCCGCAGCAGTAGCCGCAGCAGCGGCCGCCGCTGTGGCTGCTGCTGCTCCTGCA